ACACACACACATATATATATATATATATATATAGTAGTGTTATACAAGTTATAAAAGTTAGAGTTAAACACTTACTGATAGAGACACCTTTGACCGGCAAGGCCCAAGAAAATCAATTGGTCGAACTAGAAAAGAATATCCACTTGGGATTACTATTTGTGGTCGTAATGGTGAAGAACATGCGATTTTCCAGACATCTTGAAAAGACTGAAAATATGTAAGAAGTACTATTTAACTGAAGCTACACTTAAGTAATAGTAGTAGTATTTGTGTACACCTTAATTTATCGATGTTTACAAAAAGCAGAGTGTATGAATGCGAAGATATGTGCGATGTATTTATTTAGGTTAGTGTAAATATCAGGTGCGTGTAAGTTTTTACTCTTACCTTAGTGTCATCGGTTACGCCATCTCCTTTGGCTCCAAACTCATTAACGTAAATAAGGGTTCTTGATCTGCCTGTTATGTTGTTCAATGTATGATGAATTACGGGATGGAAACCATTCACATTTGCGAAAAGCAAGAAGGAATAGATAGTAGTATATAATAGCGATGCCAAAGTAGAAACAGAAGTGGAGTAATAAGAAGCGAAGGAAGAAGATCTCAGCTCCCCCATATTCTTTTAATTAAACTGTTAGAAATGACGAGGGCTTTTATAATAATAACATATACTCGAAAGCCAAATGATTTATGCTACTCCCTCCGTTCTAGTTTACGTGAACTTATTTACTTTTTGATTTGTTTTAAAAAGAATAACTCATTTCTAAAATTTAGAAACAATTTAGATTAAACTCACAATTCTATCTTAAATGAGAAGCCGTTATAACCATACAAATACTCTGATCCCTTTTTGACTTGTTTAGGACCACAAATTCCAAAAGTTTTCATTTTTTCTTAAACTCCATGCCCAATCAAACATGTTCACATAGATTGGAACGGAGGGAGCAGTTGTTTCCTCCCGGACAGTGGCGGAGCCAGAATTTTCGTTAAGGGGTGTCAGAATATATAAAAGTAAACAAACCGAAAAATTAAGGGGAGTCAATTATAATATATATACATATAATTTATTTTTTTTACCTATCTACGCAGTGTATTTTTTCCGCAAAAGGGTGTAATTTGACACTCCTTCCTATAAGGTGGCTCCGCCACTGCTCCGGGTACCATGAAAGGGAAGGTTCCAAGAAAGTCATTAAAACAGACTTGGGGAATTTCCTAAACTGGCAATATTAAACTTACACAAATCAGTCAAATCCCATCACTGCTATTCTGTTTCATCTTTCACGTACGGGAGAAAACAAGCACTAGTAGTAGTATTCGAAAATTTTTATTTTGTGTCTCACATAACTGAATTTTTGTCTCACAACTGTGTGTCGCAGAATTTTGTGGAACCAGATATGTAAGATATGCGTTCACAAATATATGAAATAAAAAGAGGCATCACATAACTAATGTAAGTTGTATGAGGCACAAAATAAAATCAATCGTAGTATTATGTTTGCTTACAACCTCAGCATATTTTCTGAAGTCATTGATGTTAACTTTGGGTACGGCCCTTCAGGCAGGATATTTTGTGAATCGGACTATTTTTTTCTTCTTCTTGTTAACTTGACCGAATTTTAGAGTGAAAGTAGGAAATACTTAATACAACATTTTTTACTTAGAAAATAAGAAATATACTTTAATTCTGAAATGTCGGCATTAATGAATATGCTTGGTAAATATTAAATTTAGTATATTCTAAACATGTTTTTGTATAGGCAAAAATCTGCCTTAAGGGAATTTAGTGCAAAGCGGCATTAAGGAAAAAGGTTCGGTCGAGGTCGACCAGGAAGCAGTGGGATTCGTGGCTGGGTTGTCAACAACGGTCGAGGTCGAGTACTAAGGGCAGAACAGTAACGGCTAGTTTTTGTGATAAGATATTAAAGAGAATATTCCGTTGAATATTCTTTGCACTTGTAATATTAGGGTTTGTTAGGGACATGTCTCGTATAAATAGAAAGAGAAAAGATAGTGTAGGGCATGTAACATTGACTTGATAAGAACACTTTTCAGAAGAAGAACCTTTCTCTCTAGCAAAGATACAAACTTTATCTTTTGTAATATTCTTACAGACATTAACCTATATCTCACCATCAGATCTGAGAATAGTTCTAAGATTCGAGGATTTGTCTGTCATTCACTCCTCATTCATTTTGGGTGAATCGTTCCCTCTATTTACATTAATGTCATTTATTGCTATTTATTGCTTGATATCCTTCCATTACTACTCACATCTTTTGGAATATTAAATGTGCATTATCTTTAGTTTCCCACCGACTTTATCTTACATTATCCATATTGTCATGTTCTAAATCTAAAAATATTATCATTAATTAGATTTAATTCCGCTCATTATATAAAATAAAATATTTTAACTGAATGTTTATATTTTTGGTCAAACAGTTTTGACGTTCACTTTTAGATCAACTTATGATAAAATACTAATGTTATTTGAATTTCTAAGTTATAATATGTCACGTAGTGCTTACCAATAACTAGAAATGCTAAGATTTATTTTGTATAACTCAATGTTATCAAATACAAAACGAGACAAATTAAAGAGGTATATATTTGTCACAGTGTAAAGATCTCATCTACATGGCTTCGAGAAATTTTCGTTGTTTGACCTATTTTGGGGCACGGTTTAGTAAAAAACTCTCTTTTTATTTTTCGTGCAACTTATATGAACCTTTTAGAGCACCGTAACAACAAATTTTCGCGTCGAGAAAAATAAATAATCAAGACCGAAAAATTGCGTAATAAATATAGTATTTGATTTCAATAAATGAAAGTATTACAATCTCTATGGTATTCCTCTGATTCTTCAAGAATGTAAAGTATCTTAATGAGCTTGACTTTAATTTGATTCAAGGGCTTGTAAAGCTTGATCTCGAATCTCCTCCTTGGATTTGAATTTGGGTTTGATCACGAACAAGTAATTTGATCTTGAACGCCTTGGTATTTGATTTGGCTTCGTTCTTGATCTTGAACTTGAACTTGAACTTGTAGCTTGAGTGCTTGAGTGCTTGAACTTGTAACTTGTAGAGAAATCTGCGGTGTTTGATCCACGAGCTCTCTGCTTGCTTTTTGTTATCACTTCTGGTGTCCTTTGGCTTTATGAAGACCTCTATTTATAGTTGTAGGGAGTGGTGTGGCTCTGCGATTTGATTGGTCCGTTTGAACTGACCAATACCATCCAGACACTTGGCATGATTTAATTGGCTCATTTATTTGGCTTGGATTGCCACATCACTTGACGCATGACATGATTTTATTGGCTCATTTATTTGGCTTGGATTGCTACATCACTTGACATATGGCATGATTTCATTGGCTCATTTATTTTGGCTTGGATAGACATGTGGCATGAGCCTAGGCTTTAAGATGGGCTAATAGCCATTTGGACCTTGGGCTAATGAAGTGGACTATTCATTTAATCTGTAGTCCAATTAAATGGATTAGCCCAACACATATAATAAATTTAAATAACTAGCCCAATTTACTAGCCACGATATTTGTTTGTACTAATGTTTTTACGGAATCTTCATCTACGGATAGATTTTGGGAGTTTCCAAGTTACAATTGAACTGTAACTCTCCTCTATTTTATCCACTTTCTCATTAACTTAGACTGTTTAACAGATGTAGTATTGGAGTAGGAGTCAACCACTGTCAGCTCATTCTATAAATAGGGTACAATATCATTGTTAGACGTATTAATCTGAACTCCGAAAAAGTCTTGACTCGTAACAGCTTGGCCGGAGAAGTACCATTCTTTGAGGTAAAATGCTCTTTTTTTTTTTTTTTTTAGCAACATTCAAAAATTGCTTTTGTCACGAGCCGAATTTCCCACCCTCGGGAGTCGTGATAGTGCCTACTAATGTGAGCTAGGCAAGCTAATTATTGAACAGTTTACCTTTATCCATTTTTATACCTTTTTAGCATTTATAAGCAATAATGTGAAAAACAGCAAAAATTTCGTTAAGAGGAAGAAATGTAGTAAAATATCTTAAATATAAATTTAATACAACTGTTTAAGCCTTAATCACCCAGAACTGGTGTCACAGTACCACAGACGATCTAAGAGTGCTAGATACAAAGTCTGAAAATAAAAGATACATTGTTTCTGAATCAAAGAAATGAAACAGGAAATAAAGGATAGAGGAGATGCCAGGTCCTGCAGACGCCTGCAGGTCTACCTTGGATCTCTGCGTGGACTGAAGGTAGCCACCCAAGTGCTATGGTCCAAGAGTTGCTCCAGGATCTGTACATAGTGCAGAGTGTAGCATCAGCACAACCGACCCCATGTGCTGGTAAGTGCCTAGCCTAACCCCGGCGAAGTAGTGACGAGGCTAGGACCAGACTACCAAATAAACCTGTGTAGTTATATAATATACAACAGAAAATAAAACAGAAATAAACAAGTAAAGATGGGAGGGGGATACATGCTGCGGGGGTATATCAATATCAACAGTAAATCAAGAGTAACAACATAGGGACAACTTAGTATTAACAGCAAAACAATAAGAAACTTGTATCCAATCTATAAACACTTTGTATCAACAATTATTGCGGCGTGCAACCCGATCCCAATATATAACAACACTATTGTGGCGTACAACCCGATCCATATCATTTATCACTGTTGCGGCGTGCAACCCGATCCATATATAATATTGTTGCGGCGTGCAACCCGATCCAAATATAATATTGCTGCGGCGTGCAACCCGATCCAAATATATCATTGTTGCGGCGTGCAACCCGATCCACATATAATATTGTTGCAGCGTGCAACCCAATCCAAATATAATATTGTTGCGGCGTGCAACCCGATCCACATATACAATCAACAACAATCATTACGAGGGTTCCGGCAAGGGATCAATAAAGAACTACACTATCCCGGCAAGGGAATCGACAATATAAGTAACTACGTCCCGGCAAGGGAAAAACAACTATAACCAAACTTGTTCCAACATCTAAGTACCTCAGCTAACACCAATACTCGGTCATAAGTAATTTCCACGAGAATAATCATAATCCTTGCTCAATACAGAGAATCATCAACTTAAGCATCCGTAGTATTATTTAAGAACACAATAAATTTCAATTCAAGACTCACGATCATGTTCGATACCAACGTATAAGTACTCGTCACTGATATTAGGCTATATAGATGATATTTACACCTTAATGTTACCATGCTTTATTGTTGTTTTATAGGCGAATTGATAACAAAATGCTCTAAATGGTGTTCTTTTGCTTCGCAGGGAATAATCTAAGTGAGGAAGCACTACAGAGTGTTTTGGTCAATAATGCGAAGAAAACGCCCAATCAAGAAGTACCCGAGCATGAAGAAGAAAAAAACTGGACTGAGTGAAATCCACCGCGACCGCGGTGGAACCGCGACAGATCAAATACTCGAGGCAGAATGTTCAGCGTTCACCGCGGTCGAGCCGCGACCGCGGTGAACTGTTCACGTGCCAGAAATTTGGGGACCAAAGTGTAACTCGGGGAAAACTTGTTCCAAACCCTTATAAACTTTAGAAGCTCGCCCAAGACATGTTTAAACTTATTTTT